GAACATCATGGAGAAATATTTCACTCTTTATGTAATTAGAGAAACCCATCGAAACATTCAGAATTGGAAGTATCATTTACTGAAAGGGTACAGCCGTATTTGTAATTATTTAGCACACACAAGTCTGTACTAAAATAGGTGTTACATTTAAAAAGTGGTCGGAAGTGTTTTCAAGTACTGACAAACGTTAAGTGGAAATAGATTATAGATAGAAGATAAGTCTGTGCTCACAGAATATTGGGAAAATGCGGATAAACAAAAAGAGGGGTCATAGCCTCTTAGGTTATAAAAACTAATATTATTTTTCTATGACCAAGGTAATGCGAGGACTTGGAGATCTCGTTCTTAGAAAAATCGGTCTTAAAATAGTTATTTCTCAACAATCATATCTTTCGAAATTCAATAAATGTATCATTCACTAGTAGAACATGGTAGTGAAACAGATTCATACACTGTTTTCTCTCACATTCATGATGTAAACGGTAAGAAAAATTAATCCCATGTCCAAACCAAATTAGTTGAATTGAAAAATAGTCCCTCTGACTTAGCGATTCAGGCACTTTACCTTCTAATCATTATGTCGTGGCTTCACGTTATGGAACCGGAATATTACCCAAATTCAGTTCAGATGTGTACTAGTGTATATTCATTGTATGACTTATAATATATTGGGATCTTGAGATGTCTAGGTAGTAACAGTCATACTTGTATATTCAGGACAAATTGTTCTAAGAAACATTTTCATCCTTGAAAGTTATATTTACTACATTCGCTTAGTTATCGTAGACAGATCGGATATATGTTTTTTTTTGAAAAAACATCTAGCGGCAATCCAGAAGGATTAATTCGTGTTACTGAATTAGCTGACCAATTTGTTCAAGGCGGAGATTTTGATGTTTATCAAAAAACATTCGACGATATCAAAAAACTGATAGAATGTACAAAAAAATTCGCAGCAGATGATGAACTTGAAGTCCTCGGTCAGGCATTTGATGAAAAGCAAGCTGACGATAAAGGTTTGTTGTTTTTACCTGAAAAATGAGCTTCAATCTATACTTTGTAATAAAATTAGTAAGCATTATCGTAGCGGTAATATTCAAGACTACAGCTTTCAGCGTTTTGGTTTGAAGTTCTCAAGACAGCACTGTCTTGTAATTTTCGAAGACATTTCGCAACATCTACTGAACACGTGATTAATTAAAATTAAATGAAATAGAATTTTTTGTAGTCCACTTAGATATAGTTAGCGACTTTCAATTCGTATCGCGGTGACGTTAAAATTAGTGACTTTCAAGATATTTATTATCTAGGAAATAACTATGGTTTCCATGTTTGACCTAGAAGAAAACGTTTATAAAGACAGTCTACTCATTTTAATCCTTTCAAGGATATTTGCACTTAAATGTTACAAAACATCAGTCACTAAAGAGTGTTAACTACAGGCAGGCTAAAAACATTTCTTTTCTCAAGAAAAGTATTTATAATCACCTTCCATATTTTCTTACCCTATTTCTCTTGCTATGTATCCGGAATCACTCCATGGTTAAATACTTTTGATCGATTAGATTAAATATTAAACGTTGTTAACTCTTCGCTTGATCATCTTATGAGGTACTTATTTGTAGTGGAAAAAAAGCAAAACTGTAAGACTGAACACAAACTTGCTTTGGTTCCAGTTATTAGACGATATCAATTCTGTAAGGGAAAACTAATAAGAGATGAAGTAAAGTGAATAGGAAACAATTTAAAAAACGAACAAAAGTCACGAAATGGTACTGCTTACCCTAAACAGCGAGAACATCATAAGTCGAAGTAGTACATTTTAGCTGCTGAGACAGTGAGCTTGCTCATAGTCACTTTGAATCACAGCTAATCGTCCATAAGTGTTAGAGGGATATATATTGGATCAGAGCATGTTTTGTGCAGGATTGTGTTTGGGCACGCTAATTGGCTATTTCTTGATTAACCAGCGCTAAAGAGTACTTGGAGGAGACTGTCGAATCTTCCCATGTAAAAATCATGAATATGCTCTCATTTTTTAAAATTTTGATTCATACTTCCATCCACCCTTGTTATATGAAATGCAATTGCATTCATGTTCAACCGTGTTCTGATTTGGGGACTTGTCGAGTGAAGTGGTGTCCAAGAATACTAAGCAATAAGAGTAGCTGAGTCGTAATAAGAGAAACCATAACAATAGGCTATATTATATATATAATCCAGCTATCGGTCTACCCCAACAATGAATAGCAGACAATAGGATATTACACAAATTTGTAAGCTTCATCGGCAATTACACTAGTTCCGTTGATTAATAGCAGTATACAGGGGATCGAAACTAAATATAATTCCTCTCACACATCTTGCACGATTTGTTAAGTCACACTTCTGTTTTGTCGACATGTATATGTGGCTAATAACTTGTATTAACCTATAAGATTTGTAAAACTGGTTAAGTTTCATATTTGGATATAAAATAAGAATTTCTGATAAATCTGTGGGTAATTTTCAATGTCTACTTAGTTGGTACTGATCATCTTCAAAATTGTGTTTATGACTGTCGCTGATGTCAACTAGTTATTGGAAATTCTGATGACAAGTCATAATGTCTAGTGTCAGTCAAGTATTGTATGACATCTGTAGCAAGCATAGAACATACTTTGTTGTCTTTTGGGTGGAATTAATAATTAACTCTCATAAAACTTGTCGTATTAGTCTAAAGATATATATCCTGTACATAAGGCTCAGAAACATTATTGAGATCAAATGCACTATGCAAAGAATGATCGCTTCAATCAATTTCTAATTTCCTTGTATGGTTAATTTTGTAAAATAGTTGACCTTATTCATGTTCAAATTTCTAAAATGCTTATTAGGTGGAATCAAATCAACTGAAGAACATGATGGTACTGACCATGATGGCAGTAATAATAATACCTCAGTCATGTGGCATTTAAAACGTTCAAATAAACCAAATACAGAAATTGAAGGACCATACACATCTGAACAATTAAAAGTGTGGCTTCAAGATGGAACATTTAATGACGATGACAATATTTTAATACGTGAATCAACGAAGTCTGATGGACAATTCTATAACATCACACGTATTGACTTTGATTTGTATGAATGAGAGTAAATATTCACTTCTTCAATATTATGTTCCCTTCGTTTATGCATTCTATTGTATATAGAAAAATTTGTGAATATATATGTTCGTTTTTTCTGTTGATTTCTTACCTTACCTTTCGCATAATTTTATTAGCATATTGAGAAAGAACATTTTATTCATGTCTGTTTAACGATCGATGTTGCAGCATTTATGGAATGGTAACAGTTTTTTTCTACCGAAAATCGGGGAATTAAGTATTTTGCACTCTTCACGCAGTGTTTCGTGGGAAGGATGAAAATTTGGTTATAGTTTACATTACTAACTAATATTGATCGGAGAACTTGAAATTAAACAATTAATATTTCGTCTCACGAATCTCCAGTACTTGCCTACTCCTTTTACGGCTCGTAAAGCATAGGCAACCGACCAGGATTCTCCAACCAATCCTTACGAAAATCAATCTATTGATATCAAAATTGAGCATCTACGGAGTCCTTTCTTCCGTTCAACAGCACTGTGTTGGGAATGTTTCCTGGTACTGACAGTCGTGTGATGCCACTGTAGTTCTCAACTCTCCGAGATCCCTTTCTTTGATATCTTGATGAGGTATCCTTCTTTCCAGTCTGTTGGTACTTGTTATTCCTCCAAAATGTTTTGAAGAGAACGTAGAACATCTTTGCAGTTACCTCTATTTAACTTAAATAAGTAAAAACTACGTGCCCTTTAATGACTAACTTTAAGATTTAGGTCATTGTTTTTTATGGAATTCGATCATGATTGGAGTGAGACAGTTTTCACTGGTGTTATCTTATAGTTTCAGCAATAAATAAGGAATTGACTAAAGTCGGAACTGTGAACTACTGTATGCTGATTCAGTAGTCTAAGAATAATATGGTCCCTATTAGAACTGATGGTTGTGAATTCGATCTTTTTCACAGAACTACGGAATCTTAGAACAAAGCATTTTTACAGTGCTTAGTTGTTCTGCAGTGGTCATCGGTACCCCATGAAAATTCCCTTCACAAAAACGAAACTCAGTCGTTATTAATAAACAACGGTTTCCGTCTAATCATATCTTCGGAGCTTCATTAACGTAAAATCGACAGGAGTGTCACAGAGGACTAGTTTTTATGAAGGTAGTTCGTCTTCAAAGAACTCGTGTACATTGAAGTTAGTCTTAGTTCTTATCTTAACCTCTGTTTTTTTAAACAGGTAACTGCAATAGAATAGAAGCATCTGGAGAAGAAAGTCTTTTTGACGAAATCATTTGGTTAGACTTTGCATTCGTGTTTATAGTTGTGTGGTAAATGTTTTTCAATACAAGAAATAGAAAAGATCGGACTTCTCTCCATAACAGTCCGAAACATTTTAACGTTTTCTTTAATACTCAGACTACTAACATTAGGTTATAGTGTTTTATTACTTTAAGTTGTAGACATCCGTTACACGGTATTTTTTATCCATAGCAGTTGAAACCATGGCTATTTGTAGACGTTTGAAGCGGCCAAATTAAAGCCTAACGTAGCGTACAGAAAATGGTGCTGAAGTCTGGAGCTTCTTCTTTTATGTCTTTGTTGTTGTTACTTGTAGTGTTTGCAGCTATGCGGCTGTTTGCGGAAACATTGTCTTCTTCACAAATTTTGACAATCTTTGGCGGATTTTCCGGCAGTTTTGTCTTCGTTCTATTAATAACGGTATTAGTTTATTGTTGTTCAACTGACATTCTAGTTTGTAAATAATTTCGAAAGGACACTTTTTGGTGATGAGTTCTGCTCCAAAGTTTTCCCTGAAGGTATTATCGATTAAAATCTAACATACTTGGAGTGGTCATATGTATTTTTATTGCCTGTTCCTTCTCTGCGACTATACATCGCGTGTGCGGCACGACATGGTAAGATTGTATTGATATAACCTAAGTTATTTTAATGTTTTAAAACTTCGTACCGGTGCTAGTGATGTTTCAAACTATTGGAATTCCTATTCCGTAGTATTCTAAATGCTCTGGTATGAACGAGAGCGGGGAGGGTTCGCCCTCCCTCTCGAAATGCTCTCACACGGCCACGCGTATACAGCCTCTGCCAGGGAAGTCCTACTCACTGCCTTCTCGTGGCGGGGGTCTTGTTTACAAAAATGAGAGGACGAAAAGTGAATGTCCGGCGCTTTAACCAGATCTCAAACCAATAGTGCACATGAGCTCCAGTATCCTGAGTGAACGAATGGCGTATGAACCAATTGTTGGTCATCGGCTACCATGGGAATGCATCTCCTCACGATGATCCACTGCCTTGTGGGTCAGACCTTTAGGTTAAGGGCTCGGGTCGTGGCCCCCTAAGAAAACCACCTGTTTCGGTCTGGGCACCTGGGCAGTATCAGCTCACACACACACACACACAAATATGGTGTGGCGCATATATATTTGGTGCCCTCTTGTACCAATATTTATGTGTTGAAATAAACAAATCAATAAATAAAATTATGGAGAACAGGTTTTCAAAGTACTGGGCGGTTGTCTTGTCCTAGTGTGGGGTTCTTCAATAGCGCTCATCCACGGTCCCGCACGCAGGATTCGAATCGAGGACCCTCGCTCTGGTACTCGGACTCTTAACCTCTAAAGCGTTAAGTCGGCATCCAACGGTGTTTATATCTAACTCCAATCGATCCATGATCTTTCGCAACCCTTCATTTATTATCTGATGTGAATAACTCATACACCCGACAATCTCCACTGATCCCGTTACTGATGAGTGCAATAACCTTGTACTGAATCTCTACTATAACGCTTTTCATCGAGACAAAGCTCATGGTGAACTGTCCTCAGAATTGGTTACTTCAAGTTGTGTTTGTCAGAATTGTCCTCCAGGAGTTTATCTTCTAACGGGAGGCTCACTTGTTGACTTAAAATACACAGATGACATGGTTCTGTTTTGTGAAGACGCTGACAAAATGCAATCTATTGACCACCCTTAGTAACAATGCAGACATATTTGAGATGCAGTTCTCTTCCTCCAAATGTTACTTCAGGATTGGCTGGCGGGATCGTTACGAAATAAAAAAAACTCGGTTGGCTTATATCAACTTACATCACTTGTAGCAGAGGTAAGGTATCCATTTGCCAACTAAAGGATAAGTTTGATGCTCAGTTATTTGGTCTGTTGTACTATATGTGTGTGAAGGATGGTCACTGATAATAGAGGACATTTATAGGTTACTTGTATAGCATAAAAAGATATCGTTTGATATGGTAAAATTTCTACAACTGACTCGAAGATAATCGCAAATGGATTTTATCGTGATCATTGATGAGGTAGCAAATGTTCATTAACTGAGGTGATTGGGGCATGTGTTACGTACGCCCGACCACCGCTTACATCGACGGGGGGTGTTCTCTGGTACACTGCTGGGTTGGAAGATATCTAGGGGCGGCCAGACCGAGACTTGACATCGGCCCATGATGCAAGTGACATTTGGACTTGATCATGTTAATAGGTATAAACTTACTGGTTGGGTTCCACGTGATTATCACAATCAGTGGTTAGATACTTAGAATGAAATGGTTGGAAATCGTTTGCAATGGCGCCTGTGCATCTACTCAGTGTTTCATCAAATCCTGATTTGATGATGATGTACCTGGTCCTACGTTGTAGCTGACTAACTGACTGACCCATCAAATCCTGAGGTTTTGAATTTCCGGTGACTTGTTTTTTGTGTTTTGATTTCATCAATTGATATTTTCTTTTGGATTCGTATCTCCGGTGCCTAATCTTTCCTAATACTACTGATACTGTTACTTTCTCTACTGTTCTGGGATTTAGCCTGACAACATCTCTGTGATAGTAGGCCATGGCAACTTGAACCAATGTGCGTACGTACAGATTCTACGTTGTGACCGACTGACTGACAGCCGATGTAGCTCGACCGTAGTAACTATGGTCGGATCAATAAGTAATGTAACTTCCTATAGCGTTTGTACTGTAAGAAATAATACTCATTATACTTTGTTTATTGATTCGTATTTATGGTAAAGATAACTTAATTGTTTCATTTGTAGTTTCATATTTTCGCTGGTGATGCTGTATTATCTGAGTCGCATTTCTCATGAAGTTTATCAAAGTAACGAGCAAGTCACCACAAGTAACTCATCAAGGAAGAAAAAAGAATGAAATTCCCGATTTCTTTCCAGCTAGTGGTACTTTTTCCAAGTTATTTTTCTTGACCTTTAGATGTGCTTTTGTATTCGGGCTGTAAAGTTGCAATAAATATTCTAATTTTCTTAAGAGTTTGTTTTTGTTTAACAGATCGAAATTCGGGCAAAACTTAATCTTATTAAGTCTTAGTAAACATTTAAAGGTCAAACAACATTTTTATCATTATTGACTGACTTGTATTCCACAGGAAGGAAGTTCACAGGCACGGCTAGTGAATGCAATAATTATTTCATTTTATTTACAGTTAACATAACAGCGCATACTAAGATAACATATTACTTATCGATGAATGCTAATGCAAATTAGCCTTAGCGCAGATAATAAAGGTTTTGTAATTCTACGGTTGGACGCATTTTTATGGTTTTATGCGTGAAGGACACAGGGCCGATTGTTGGTTACCGGCTACCATGGAATTACATCTCCTCACCCTGTCTCACTGCTTTATGGATTAGACCTTTAGCACGAAGGATCGGAGTGTGGCACCCTAGGGAGTCCACCTGCTTCAGTTTGGACACTGGGATAGTATCACAGCCTTCACACAAATCAAGTGATCTGTGTGGCGCATATGTATTTGGTGCCTCCTTGTACTAATGTTTATGCGTTCAAATAAATAAATAAACCTGCTATGGCGTTCTTATGGTCTTTTTGCAATCTACTTAGGGTCGGCACTTGTTTCTCCCCCTAAATCCTCTTGAATAGAAGGTGAAGCATGTTTGTAGTTATTTCGATGTCTGGCTTCAGTGCTTCATCTAGTATATTGTCGGGTCCTGCTGCTTTCCTGCTCTTGATTTGTCTGATGACCATTCTGATTTCTTTCGTCGTTGGTGGATTGACATCTATAGGAAGATAATAGATAGATTGACTAGTTGATAGATAAATGGATAGATGCCAGGAGGTCGCTGATACATCTAAAAGGTTTGTTTTCTGAATTGTTGAGATAAATCTTTCTACTAGTTGAGTTCATAAGTCAATTAAAGCTAGACCACTATGGAAAACCTGGAAGCACTGGACAGCCGTTTTGTCCTAGTATGGGACTTCTCAGCAGCGTGCATCCACGATCCCATACCGCGAGATTTAAACCTGGGACCTCAACTAATAAATTACTATAATATTCACAAAAAGCCCTTCTGATAATAAGTCTTTTTATTTAGAATACAATTCACCTCATCCTTTGTCCTCAAACATCTCAATTTCAAGTACGTAAGATTGGATGTTTTGTATGGAGTGATTATAATCATGACCTGAGATCTTTTAATCTCTTCCATTTTCTGATATTAGAAAACGGTAAAATGCAATAAAATGTAAACATCAATAACAATTCATTGAGTGTATCACATTCGTGAACTGTCACCAATATAAATAGTGAAGATTTCAGCTATTTTTCATTATTCTTCAGTTAAGAAATGGGAGCACAAATAGTGAAAGCTAACCTTGCTGTAACTATCTTATGGATATGGTGCTTAGTGACGACTGAAACAAACAATTGTTCAGTACCAATAGTAACTGACGAAACAGGTAAATTGTATATTCTAAACATGAATGTAATCTACGTGTTTGTACTTGAACTATGAATATGGTAAGTATTAGTTTTAGTGTGAGTAGTAGTAGTAATTGTAATAGTAGTAGTAGTTTTCGTAGAAGTAACCTGACCGACATTCAGAATATCATATACTTAAATGAACTATTTTTTTCAGCACTGTTATCCATCGTTTTATTATGCATGATACCCAATCTCCAATTATAGTTGAGGCTTGCTCTTCAACATAGACTGAACAGATCTACTGAAATGTGTTCAAGCATATATCAATCATCACTAGTGCAAAAAGAACAGTACTAAGTATTCACTTAATATTCGTAATCAGTCGTTCACTTTACAGAAGCTTCTCATTTCATTACTGTTCCTGATATTTCTACCTATAGTCGTTAGTAGTCATTGAATCACTTCGATCACACAATCGCATGCTAAGCGTACACTTTGTTACACTCTTAGTGCATCAATGAGTATCCCGTACATTTTTCACTGAAGTCAATATATCTCAAGACTGCATTTCAATGTATTTTACTTGTTGTGACGTATTTTATTCACGTGTGTTTGTTGAAAACTTAAGATAACACTGTTATATCAGTCATCTCGGTCTCGAAATCTTTGTCAGTACGTACAATCTGCCACTGAGTCGAAATTGTTGTGTTGTGTAGTAGTTCGATTCTGACGTTAATGCAATTTCCTCGTATATTCATACTAAAATCAAATACTAGTATGAAATTCAAGTGCGAGTACGGTTCTTAAATAATGATATACACTTGATTAATTAGAAAACGGTAACTAACTCTTGATCAATAATATATGCATATCAGTGGACAATGTTTGATCAATCTGCCGAACCAGACTTTCAACAAATTACATTTAGAAATATTTAGATGGTGTAATTTAGCCATAACAAAAGGATTCCATGGTAGACACAACCGTCTGTAATAACAAAATTGTCTCCAATTGTAGCATGATACAAATTAAAGTGCAGCGTTCCATTTGTTTCTAATTTTGAAATTAATATTTATTCACCAGCGGTGAAAAGGAATAATGATACGAACATCATGGAGAAATATTTCACTCTTTATGTAATTAGAGAAACCCATCGAAACATTCAGAATTGGAAGTATCATTTACTGAAAGGGTACAGCCGTATTTGTAATTATTTAGCACACACAAGTTTGTACTAAAATAGATGTTACATTTAAAAAGTGGTCGGAAGTGTTTTCAAGTACTGAAAAACGTTAAGTGGAAATAGATTATAGATAGAAGATAAGTCTGTGCTCACAGAATATTGGGAAAATGCGGATAAACAAAAAGAGGGGTCATAGCCTCTTAGGTTATAAAAACTAATATTATTTTGCGGCACCCGGGCAGTAACACAAGTAACAAATCATGTTACTTGTTTGGCGCAAATGTATTCGGTGCCCCTTTCTACCAATGTGTATTTTTCAAATTAAATAAATATGTGTGATTTCAGTTTGGTTACCGGAGACATACGAAATGGCACAGATGTAACTCGAAGACTAGTTCATGGATAATAAACATAAAGACGGCTGGACCGTCATCGAAGTTACAGGAAACGTATGATGTGCAATTGACAGTAATTTAATAATGCAATTTGTAACGAATTAAAAAACAAAAGTTGGAATCATATTTAGCGTGGTTTTCAAAGGGACTTCTATTGGTCTATTGGTTCCAACCTGATAACCATTTCTCACCTGGTGTTGTCCACCTTTCCATTCCGGTATTTCCTCAACAATCAATCTGCTGAACCAGACTTTCAAAAGATTACATTTAGAAATATTTAGATGGTGTAATTTAGCCATAACAAAAAGATTCCACTGTAGACACAACCGTCTGTAATAACAAAATTGTCTCCAATTGTAGCATCACGCAGAAAGTTTCCCAAAACTTAGTTCATGTCTCTGACTTCCTGTTCACTGTCTCAATATTCAATTTTAATACATCTCCAGACTAACCTATTTTCGCACACAAATAATTATGCTTCAACAAATGAAATTAAATATGATCTATCACTTTCAGTATTACTGTAGTACCTTATTTTATTCTTCACAGTTTATGTAACAATGATTTCCGACAGAAAAGAAGGAACCCCAAGGAGAAAAACATGCATATTTAATGTCAAATACTCTGAACTGGATTCCTAGTTGCAGTTTTGTTATCGCCATCATCAGCGGTAGTAGTATCAATAATATCAGCAGTTTTATTAGCATAAATAGTAGGTGTCGTAATATTCATAGTTGAATAAATTTTATTTAGGATGGACAGAATTGTCTTTTGATTTTGATTTCTCTGGGTAACACAGCAAAACATGTAACATGGGTAACCAAACACTCATTGTCCATACATAGAAACTTATTCTAGTTAGACTTCAAATTGATTCAAAAATGATGTAGACCTGGTTAAACAATGAGGGATCAAGATAGCTGATGAGGTGAATGACCTCGAAAGGAATTTCAGGAAACAAGTAGAAATCGAACGTTGATGAATAATCATCACATCATCACTCTCTACACTACGAGATTCCACCTTCTAAATTGCCTAATTCTCATTCAGCCATGACGACACAATAAGGAACTCAATAAGAGAAACAATTTCTAATCAAACTTGAATTCTGTGTTCAGCAGTTCCGATATCTACTCATCTGCCGATAGATCCTTCACAATTCACTAATGATTTCTGTAGGTAGGAGTAATGTGATGAGTCTCATTTCATTTTATCCAAATTCGTCTACCATCACAGTAGAGAACTATGCTGAGAACTCCGTATGGTATTAACCATAAAATATTGAATAAAGTGGGCATCTTAACTATTGGCTGTATGTATCCGCCTCATTTTCAGCATTTTTGAAACCGTCGGTTACGACTTGCATCGCAACATCAAACAGTTCATTTGGGAGCCACCATATTTGTTTCTCAGTTGAGATATTGTCTGCTGATGAGACTATGTAAAATACCTACTATTTTGATCTGAAACTATTTCAAATGGAATGATGACCACTCTCATTCTACCACTTCTTCTACACTTCAAAACACTTACATTCTCACTGTCGTTGATGAATATAATGAATCACAAAACACAGTTTCGACTACTCATAATGCTAATCAGACTAAAGTAATGTGGCATAGGACGCAATTACACTTTGCTTATCAGGTCAAAATAAAAATGCCAAATGATGCGACATTGAAAAGATAATTCGAACATTTCAAGCTGCCAGTGAATAACAATAATAATAATAACTGTCAGTCAATACCAATGTTACGAGTTTTGATTCAAACGTCATGACAATCTTATTTCAGGGATCTGAAACTTGAATAATAATAATAATAATAATAATAATAATAATAGTCAATCCAAGCATCACTGCCATACGGCTAATATGTAAACAAGAAAACGATGTAATTTGAGTTCACTCAGACATATTTATGGATACATATGAACAGCGGATTCGTAAACAATAAACATTCCAAAATGTTCTGTAAATTTCATTTAATCATTTAATCGGATTATCTAATCATTGATCAACAAATAACCCTGATTATTTATTTAGATGTTTTCGTTACATTGAGTCGTTAGGTGGTTTATTTCGTATAAAACTGTAGTTTATGTCGGTACATTATGGTTCATAACCTACATTTAATCTCATACAACGGTTTTCATTGGCTTATCGTTCAATTCATCTGTATAAATTGTTCACTCCTCCAAGTCATATCTCTAACAATAATAGGACAATTGCAGTAAGTTATTCTGTAATATTTTCATAATGAAATGTAATCTGTGACTGAGCTTGTTTACCAATCTTCTGACTTGTTAATTCATAGAAGTTTAGGAGATGCATTACAATGAGTTTATTCCAGGTACACAAGTGTATTGGTTCATCAGCATATTCTGTGTCTGTATTATGTATGTAATACTCATTATAACCCACTTACGAAACAAGAATTCGTTTGTTGAATTCAAGACTAAGACAACACATATGAGCGAACACTAATGTTGTCAATACGATCTTTATCAGATTTTACTCTATGAAAATGTGAAAATATTAAACTGATCAAGGGAATTTATGGATCAACGATCACAATGAAATAGATTACGAAACTGCACATAATGGGTAAATTGTACGAATGGACGATTGTCGAACAGGTGTACTATTGCACTACCAATGAGAAGCAAAATGAAATAATGTAAGATTTCAAGAATCATTGACAACTCCACAAAATTTTCATCCAAGTTAATCATGAAACGTAAACTTGACAGTGACTGTAGGTTTTCCCAAAGAAATTAACATCTAATAGTTGAATTCATGAGTCAATTAAATCTAGACCGCCATGGAAAACGTGGAAGCACTGGATGTCTGTTTCGTCCTGATGTGTGACTTCTCAGTCAGTACAAAATCCTAGTGTAGATCATACACAGTCCACTGATTATAATCACTCTATACATATGTATAAATGAGAAAATATCAAAGTGATCATGAGTGAATATAGATGAATTTGGTGCTAGGAAATAGAGAACAGTTTTGTACCGATATTCAGCATTAAGAATACAAATTAACATAATCAAATGGTGTATTAAATTAAGTTAGTTTTGTACAGAGATGATTTAATATTTGCTTATTTTCATGAAAATATCAATCATAGTGTGATGCTTTCTACTATTAATATCAACTGGAGGAATGATATCCCACATGTTCAAATTGTATATTGCCGTAGTGATTTTATGCACGTTAAGAATAATCAAAATTGGATCAGTCACATTTAGAGTACCAATTCAGTTTGACGAGACAGGTATGTGAATTATTTATTCATTATTAATATACTTATCATTATTGTTGCTTTTGTCAGTAGTAGTAGTAGTAGTAGTAGTAGTAGTAGTAGTAGTAGTAGTAGTAGTAGTAGTAGTAGTAGTAGTAGTAGGAGTAGAAGTAGAAGTAGTAGTAGTAGTAGTAGTGTGGTATGCACGGACACACATAATTAGTAGATAGTAGGAATTGGAAGTAGAATACCTACCGTCTAAACAGTGAGGTGAAGAGAAGGGGAAGGGAAACGAAGAGCAGTCGAAATAATAACAGGATCGGAAGAATAATGAAGTGTGTAAAGGCTAATCGATAGAATATATTCACGTGATTTATTAAATGTGAGATTTTCATATTTTACAAAGGGATTGTGTGATTCTGAACAAAAATACAAACTGGCTGTCCTCACCAAATCTCCATCCACTACAGTTCTAATAGTAGTAGTAGTAGTAGTAGTAGTAGTAGTAGTAGTAGTAGTAGTAGTAGTAGTAGTAGTAGTAGTAGTAGTAGTAGTAGTAGTAGTAGTAGTAGTAGTAGTAGTAGTAGTAGTAGTAGTAGTAGTAGTAGTAGTAGTAGTAGTAGTAGTAGTAGTAGTAGTAGTAGTAGTAGTAGTAGTAGTAGTAGTAGTAGTAGTAGTAGTAGTAGTAGTAGTAGTAGTAGTAGTAGTAGTAGTAGTAGTAGTAGTAGTAGTAGTAGTAGTAGTAGTAGTAGTAGTAGTAGTAGTAGTAGTAGTAGTAGTAGTAGTAGTAGTAGTAGTAGTAGTAGTAGTAGTAGTAGTAGTAGTAGTAGTAGTAGTAGTAGTAGTAGTAGTAGTAGTAGTAGTAGTAGTAGTAGTAGTAGTAGTAGTAGTAGTAGTAGTAGTAGTAGTAGTAGTAGTAGTAGTAGTAGTAGTAGTAGTAGTAGTAGTAGTAGTAGTAGTAGTAGTAGTAGTAGTAGTAGTAGTAGTAGTAGTAGTAGTAGTAGTAGTAGTAGTAGTAGTAGTAGTAGTAGTAGTAGTAGTAGTAGTAGTAGTAGTAGTAGTAGTAGTAGTAGTAGTAGTAGTAGTAGTAGTAGTAGTAGTAGTAGTAGTAGTAGTAGTAGTAGTAGTAGTAGTAGTAGTAGTAGTAGTAGTAGTAGTAGTAGTAGTAGTAGTAGTAGTAGTAGTAGTAGTAGTAGTAGTAGTAGTAGTAGTAGTAGTAGTAGTAGTAGTAGTAGTAGTAGTAGTAGTAGTAGTAGTAGTAGTAGTAGTAGTAGTAGTAGTAGTAGTAGTAGTAGTAGTAGTAGTAGTAGTAGTAGTAGTAGTAGTAGTAGTAGTAGTAGTAGTAGTAGTAGTAGTAGTAGTAGTAGTAGTAGTAGTAGTATTTGTAGTAGTAACACGCAATTCGTGGAGATTTTTGATATGATTCACAATTCAATCAACATGTCTTGCTTTGTAGCCTCACTAATCACGGTTTACTGCTTTTTCTACTTTAGGACAAATGTTTATTCACGTGGAGGGAGTGAATATTTCACTCGATTCTAATGATATATTGAAAACGACGAACAGATATTGTACTAGAACCCTTTCGTTAGCACCACCAAGTGAAGCAGAAATAGCAAATCGATCTGGATATCGTGGAGGTTCTAGGTAAGTTCCTAAATATGAGAAAGATAATCTATGGAAATGAGTGATAAATGCATTTATACCGCATATACGATAAAGTAGTCATATCAAAGAACAAACATTCTGACAATGTGGATCAGTTAAATGACCATTCGAACTCTTCCAAGAAATTTTTCAAATGAAATGGAATTTAGGAGAGAAATAATTTGATGTGGCTAATTGATTCTCAGTATAATGAGAAATCAACGATTACGACTAATGGAAAATCAACAGTCGATCAACCATAACGAGTAATGAATGGTTTGAAATAATTGATCAATGAGTACTGAACAATGTCATGCTTGTCTAGTCGTTTGAGTACTGGTTGGTTTTATTTTCCACATTGCAGTTTGGTAATTAGTTTATGTGACTAGATATCGTACGGACTATGTTGTCATTTTAGGTGGTTGAAGGTAGTCGCGAGAAATTCTCAGACGTAAGTTGATATTTATCAACAAGGAGTTCATATAGTTATGAGAGAAGTGTTGCCACACAGCTTTATAGTCTGAAAAGTGAGAACTTCAAATCAACTAACTTCAACTAAACATGAGATTAGTCAAAATCAGCGATCAGTCAACTCTAAATAATTCAACTCCACAATAGGCCAGTTGCATTACAAATAACTCACTTGTCTACCACCTATCACCTTAAGTTTAAACGAACACAGTTACGTGAAGAAAGTTTTCGTTTTGGTAATGCCAATTAATAAAGCCCCATGAATGCAATCGTGGCCACTAATCACAAAGTGATTTGAGAAAAGATAGATAATTTTTACACTAGTAAAAAGGCATCCAAAGTTATGCAAACACTTTTAAAATAACGCACGCGCGCTATTTAAAAAGGACAGTGGTATTTTTCCTCACTGAGTAAATTTCTTTGTTTTGATCGTTTATTACGCATCAAGGCTACTGTTTTTCACTTTAATTGAATTTATTTCAGTTAAAGTATTTGACTAAAGTATCGTTTTTACTGTTTTGTCGTTGGTACTCTCGAGTGCCTCTTTTTCAACTGTATCTGTTAGTACTTTTGGTCCTAACAATCTATAGCTCTTCACTTTTGATCATTGATAAATTTTTTTTGTTCGGAGTATCATCACAGTTTAAAAAAGAACCCCTCCAAAATGACCGGACAGTGTAAAAAAAGCAGTTGTCAACGTCCGGGTTGTCGTTATCCTGTTGAAAGCGGCATGCAGTGCGACGAGTGCAAAGGCTGGTACCACGAAGTTTGCACGAACTTAACGCCTGTTGCTTTCAAACGGTTCAGTAAGAAGGGTTGTGTGTGGCTTTGTCAACAGTGCTGCTCGGATGCAAACAGCTTGCTAACCGAGGCCATCTCACTGGTTGATGCTGCAAAGAAGTGTTTTAGCAAGCAGAGTCGGAACGCGTCAAACAGCACTCGGTCTGTCGACACGCAAATCAACGTGAAGGAAACTAAGGTTAGTCCGGTGGTAGATGACTCACGCACGTCAAAGAAGGAAAAGCAGTCTCCAAATAGGCCTGCCTTAAAAAAAGCTCAAAAAAAGTAGGATCTTCTGTTCCCCGTCTCCCAGATGGGATCCAACAGGAAACACGTAGGAGCCGCAATCGCAAGGCTCGATCGGTTTCAAACGGTAAACATAACACGACCCCTCAGGTCGTCGACAACCCCTAAAACCCAACACTAGGTTTGACGCAACTGTTATTGCTTCTACCGGCACCGTTGACGAATGGGTAAAGGTTGTAAGGAAGAAAAGTATTGATATAAACGGGAAACCTGCACCCGTAAAAGTGGTTGAAAAATCGAAAGCTGATCATTGCGACAGATCAGCTATCTTTCATAGAATCAAGGAGAGCGATAGCTCTGAACCTAAAGCTCGTTTTGAGCATGACATTGTACTGATTAGGCAGCTGCTTAATCAACTCATGCCTCAAAATATGACCGGGGTCACCTTGCTAAAGGTGTATAGACTAGGGAGTCTAACGGACTCGAAACCAAATCATTCCAGACTGCTTAAAGTAGTGTTCGGCTCTTCGAACGAATGTGACCTAATTTTACAAAATGGACACAAATTAAAGGGTTCAGGAGTCTTTATCCGAAAGGACCTACCGTTGGCAGACCGTGTTAAAAGACGGGAAGCCGGGAAAGAACTACAACATAGGTTAGACGCTGGCGAAAAGGACCTGAAAATTGTAAATTTTCGGGTTGTAAGACTTCGACAGAGAATGATGCCGAAGCCACTCTGGGTGAAGCACGAAGGCACTTAAAGAGGCTTCAGATCTGTTACACCAATGCACGAAGCTTACTTAATAAGCGATCGGAACTAGGTGTACAGATTGACTCTACAAAGCCAGATATAATCGCAGTAACAGAAACCTGGCTGACACAGGCTATAGATAGTATAGAAATTGATTTCGAGGGCTTTACGTTAGTAAGGGCCGAGAGAACACAAAAGCGCAAAGGAGGGCGAGTAGCTCTATTCATTAGGAATGCTATCCCATTTACCATTATCGATAGTGTATCCCATGAGAGTGGGATGTGTGAATTAGTTAGTCTTCGCTTAAAATGCAAGGGACAAGAGCTGCTGATTGGTTTGGTCTATTGCAGTCCAAGCTGTGAGGCAAATGAGATCCTGTTAAGCAGTCTCAATACTTGGTCCCAAAGTGGTCGATGTCTAATCCTAGGGGACTCTAATGCACCTATGGTAGACTGGGAAAATCTGCGAACTAAATCGTCGGAGAATTCTTTCGAGCAGGAACTAGTTGATGGGGTTATCACATGTGCTCTAGTGCAACATGTGAAAGAAGCGACAAGGTACGTTCCGGACACTGAATCATCCTTATTAGATCTTATACTGACTCACTATGAGGATGATGTTGCGAACCTCCATCATATGCCACCCTTAGGTAAAAGTGACCACGCAGTTTTAACTTTCGACTTCCATATAACTGCCAGTCATGAGGACGCGTCAGTCCAGTCCAGACTCAACGTCTGGAAAGCAAACATACCAGACATCATGCACTCAGCATCGTTAATAGATTGGACAATAGACTCAGAGTCCTCCATTGAAACGGCCTGAGACACATTTCGAAATTCATACTTAAAAGTTACCACACCTCACATCCCTTGGACTATACCAAAGGGGCCGAAAAACTCACCACCATGGCTCAGTAGGGAAGTCCGTATCCTTCTCCGTAAGAAAAGGAAAATGTGGGATAGATTTAGGTTACTGGGGACTAATGAGTCAAAATCTCAGTATCGAAAGGCTCGGAACACTTGTGCCTCGACCCTCCGTAAGTCTAGAAACTTGTACGAAGAAAAACTTGTTAAGGAATCCATAGAATGTCAGACTTGTTTTGATATTTGCAGTCTAAATTTGGGATGGACTCCATGGAGATATGGACGAGTGGCGTAGCACTTCTGCACACTAAGACTGGGGTTGAAAAGATATTCATTCGAAAACTACTGTGTTTACAAAGCAACTTAATATTCGATTGCTAGTAACATAACTTGACTTCTTATCTTTTGTCAAACATTTTAGACAATGTGGACCACTGCAATCATTGCAATCCTAGGAGGCGGTTAACGAAGACTGAATAACTACAACATGAATGTAGAAATCATTTATTGTATGCAACAGAAAAGTTGACTCTTGATTATCTCATCTTCAAACGTGCTTGATGTTTTGTTACACTCATTAGAATAAATTATAATTCTCAGCATCACATTTCGTTCTATTTGTTTGTTTACTGGTGATCACATTTTACTGAAGAACACTTAGTATACATAATGCATGAGTGACCAGCTACCATGTCGAACGACAGTTGATTTAACCGTTAGTTTCTATCGCGTGTGATTAGGTTGGTGTTCTTCGTGTTGTTTTTGAGGATCTTGGTTTTTCCTTTCTGCATGTTGAGGCCTACTGATGCAGACATAGGCTCCTGCTACACTGGTTGTCGTCACCTGCATTTGTCCATGTGCATGGAATAGAAGGTCCAGATGATCTGTCAAGTCCAGATCTTCTAGTTGATATCGAGCTGTTTTGTCTGATTCCGGTCCTTACTTGGAATGCATCCGTCAGCTGTCCTCTATTCACGACTCTGCACTGCATCCCGTCGTATGAGTTCCGGATAACGTTGACAATCTTCTTAGGAACTCCACAGTGCCGAAGAATATTCCATAATGTTTTCCTATCTAAATTGTCAAGTGCCTTTTCATAATCAATGAACTTGATGTGTAGTGACGGATTCCACATGTTGAATGCTCGATTTCGAATTCCAAATACAATACATTCGTTTGTGCTTGTGTCTCACTTCTTAATTCAATTGCGTTATTTCTGGAACTCTTAGTTCATACTACAATTCAAATAATTCAAAACATTATAATCTCCTTTCTTTGGAATCTTGATGAGGTGTCCTTCGTTTCAGTCCGTCGGCACTTGTTTCTGTGTGGCGCATATGTATTTGGTGCCTCCTTGTACTAATGTTTATGCGTTCAAATAAATAAATAAACCTGCTATGGCGTTCTTATGGTCTTTTTGCAATCTACTTAGGGTCGGCACTTGTTTCTCCCCCTAAATCCTCTTGAATAGAAGGTGAAGCATGTTTGTAGTTATTTCGATGTCTGGCTTCAGTGCTTCATCTAGTATATTGTCGGGTCCTGCTGCTTTCCTGCTCTTGATTTGTCTGATGACCATTCTGATTTCTTTCGTCGTTGGTGGATTGACATCTATAGGAAGATAATAGATAGATTGACTAGTTGATAGATAAATGGATAGATGCCAGGAGGTCGCTGATACATCTAAAAGGTTTGTTTTCTGAATTGTTGAGATAAATCTTTCTACTAGTTGAGTTCATAAGTCAATTAAAGCTAGACCACTATGGAAAACCTGGAAGCACTGGACA